GCGATAAGCTCTCGTAGCTGCAGTGAGAGCTCACCCACCTTTTGGTCCAGGTCAAAGCTTGATCCAATTTGCACACTTCCAGCACGTGCTAGAGACATAGGCGGAGTATTCACTTGGCTTACCAGTATATGTATTTGCAATACACCACTTCAACATTGTTCAGTATTTGCACTCATTGTACCTGGCATAACATGAATTGTGCTATAATACACGATGCAAGTTTTCTTGGGATGTTCTATCTTACAATGAGCAAACGCTGCAGCTACTTTCTTACTGCTGTCAATAATAAGTCAACATCTAGCGCTTCACTAAAACTGAAATACATAGACGCTTATTGCATTTACTCAGCACTCGGACGCAAGAAAAATGTCCGTTCTCGGCGAGAATGGACACAGAACGTCTCGCTTTGTGCAACGTTCGTGTCGATGATGGCGACACTTGACGGCTATTCGTTCTCCGAAGCTTTACATTCAAGTGACAGTAACGGAGTGGTATGTGGACCACACTTTAACTTGACAAAGTTTACGACGTGAATAAAATTTGGGCAAACATTTTTCACGTTTATAGTTTTTGTAAAACGTTAAAAGCTCTACTCACTGCAGAGCTAGACGGAGCAGTACCAGAGCGTCGTAGAACGTGGTTTCTGCCATCTTGAAAAGCCTCGCTAGGCTTCATCGCCCGCAATGGCATTTGACTCTCTCGACTATGTGCTCGCAGGGGCGTGCTCAATGGATCCAACTTTGCATAGATGTTCTTAAACTTGTCGAGATTTTGCTCAGTCTGCTGCCGAGTAGACGTGTGCACTTTCTTCTCCTTGTCAATGTTGTCAGCGCATTGTGGCTCGTCGCCTGGAAGCCGAAAATACAGATATCCAAACCCTGCGCAACGGATTTCGGGTTCGGGAAGTGACATACTCGTGCAGTACAGCTTCACGGTGTTCAGCGGGTATACCAGAAGTAGCGATGAGTCATCGCATATACTTTAGATTCGCGCTTTCGGTACTTTACGAAGAGCACAATGTAGATACCCCATCTAATGTTCACGAGCGTAAAGAAGCCGATAGAGAACCACAACAAACTCCTTTCTTTCCAACTCTTCTCCACTCTGTGGAATTTCGCAACGACGGGAAATAATGCCGTCTCAACCACAACAAAGCAGACGATAAGGAAGCAGAAAAAGACGTATTTGTCCAGCGTCGTGAAGTACGAAATCCGTGGTGTGAGGGATGCCACCTGGTTTTTGAACGTCACTGCAGTCAGTAACAATGTTAACACGATCTGTAGCCGATCCCCTGTTTCAACCAGCGCACCGCTAGCCAAAGGTGCGTACGAAATGAAGCACAAATACGTGATGAATGCAGCCAAAATGGCTGCGTTCGTGACATATTAATAGTATCCGGGACGACGCTCCAGCCAGGGCTTCTCCAATTCAATATTATACGGAATTTCCTGCCGACCACAGCAGTAATAATGATCCAATACCTCAAGAAGCAATAATAAAAACGACCGCAAATACTGCAATGTATTATCATGACTCTGACTCACTTCGAACGGATGCCAATGTAGACACGTCCCACAGGCTCCTGTTTGCCCGAAGAAATATTAGTAGTTCGAAATTGGCGGGTAGCATGGACGTACGCTGTGGAGTTAATACCAGCTTGCATTGCGAGAAAAGTCTCTCGCACGTGTTTGATGTCGGTGGAAGGTGCTTTAAGAGAGAATTGTAGATAGCACCTTTGTCCTGCTTGGACACCGCTTGCCTGGTCCAGCACGAAGGATCTGAGTCGCGTAGTCTTCGGGACGAATCTTCCTCTTGTTGCCACAAACCGGCACTTCAAACCGCTTGACTGCTTGCGACTCTGCGCTGGAAAGATTGACGCCGTTGATGACCTTGACGACAGCCGACTCGAACACAGGAGAATGTACGATATTAGCGTCTGCCTTCAGGTGACCACGCATGCATGGGTACTCAGCGACCACAGAGTCAAAGAGAAGGCGCACGTCCGCCAAGTCAATACCTTCAGTCTGCAGCTTCTTCGTCACGCTTTGAAACTTCTTCATGTGCTCAAGAAGAGCGACCAGCTTCCGATGTGACGCACCGGTCGGGATCAGCTCCTCCACGGCGTCCACTGTCTTGATCTGAGGGCGAATTCGAATGTAGCGCTGAAGCATCTCAAAACTGGAACTCCATCTCGTCATATTCCGTTTGATGGGATGGAGGCTGGTCACTTTTGAAAGTTCGGCGAAGTTATTAACTTGACATAACTTTGACATCAGCGTGTTAACTTGCGCTAGTAACGGTTCGTAATCAGCGAGATACTTGTTAACCGCCAAGTTAAACCGGTGACTGGCACAACCAACAAGCGGAACACCAAGCTTGGTGGCGATCGACTGGTTGGTGCTGCAGCTATCGCCAGCAATAAACGCCACCATGTCGAGCGTCTTGTTGTAGACATCCAACACACCGTCAAAGAGCTTGATGTGCACATCTGCATCCTGCGATCCGTCATCAAGGGGAGACACTGCGAGCAGCTGCAGACGCAGATCCCCATCTGTATCAAAAGCACCATAAACGGTGATGTAGTGCATGGAGCCACTCGACCATCCATCGAACATTATTCCAAAACAGCTGCCCAGCATCGACTCGATCGTCTTGCCAACTTTCTTGGCCACGTCGTGCATTGCGTTGAGAAGAACGCGCGAAGAAATGGATGTCCATTTCGACATCGATCGTGTCAGCTCGTTGTCAGCTTCTGAGAGCGGCATATTGCGCTCGATGACCCACTGCATCCACTGGAAACGATGTGTCGTCTCTTCGGAGACAAACCCAAAGTCCTGGAGACTTTTAGATGTTGTAGAAAGGGAGGCTGCATGCTGAGTCTTGAAACCGGGGTGCTTGTGAGCGAGGTGAGCGATCAGGTTCGAGTAGCCAGTATTGGCAAGTTGCTTTCTCTCGTTACCGCACTGCTTGCAGCGATAACGGCCTTGATCGAGGGCCTCGTAGAAGTACGCGCAGATGTCCTTGTTGTATGTCAGCATGTTTGAGGCGGGAGGTTACTTTGAAAAGTGAGCGAGCGAGGTACAAGAGGCTTCTCGACCTCACCTACTACTGTAACCAGTCGTTTTAACATCAACAAGTAAGTATGGCGTATAGATTCGACAAGATATGGTGGTGAGCGAAGCTCTGTTGTCCACCAATTCGAGTTTTGACCTGGAATTTGTATGAGCTTACTTTTGTACATTATATTGTGAAAATTGGTCCAATATGATATTATATTTTTTGCGAAAGTTGAAATAATCCGCTTTTTTATTGTGAAAAACTGATTTTAGTCGTACGGAAATTTTTTATTCAGACCCCTGGCTCCAGCATCATCTCAAGTTCTTGGTCCCCTAACGAAGATCTTATCGTGATGCACGACATCGAACACGTCCCCCATCTTGTAGCTGGTTATAGCGAAGGTACCAGCGTCCAGAGGCGTCGGCGTAATGCGAGGGGATTCCCTCACTCCTAACCCCGTAGAGAACGAAAAGGTAAGTTTTGCTGGTCAGCGGGGAAGCTGTACACGGTCATTTCTTCACTGACTGCTGCGGTGATACGCCGGCTGATCAGGAGATGATTCAGAGACTCGGTGGTCGGCTCTAACGGCACTGAGCGACTCGTCCGGTCGCTGAAACTCACAGGCCCTGCCAGCAGTACAAGTCACGTTCCTCTTGTACGGAGTTCACATTGGTGAACTCGTCGCCGTTAATTTCGAGAATAGCCATGAGCTCACGCAGCATAGAGTCCTCACGGAATGATGTTATCCCTGGTAAAGTGACTTCCCACCTGACCCACGGTATCCACCGACGTGATCGAATTCACCTCGATCTGCACTTCTAGAGATTCAAAACCGGCCATCAGCTGCGCTGTTAGGAGCCCAGGTCGGTCGTTTTGCGGTGGCATGATGTTACGAAGAAACCAATGTGGAGAACCTCCCCATTGTCCAAGTTGCATCTTCCAGTTAAGAACAGTTAGAGGTAGATCACCGGCATCGTCACCATCCGCAAGACTGTAATTGCCCTTCGCGGAATCCAAAGAAACTCGAGATGCTGCAACTTGTTTCGCTAATTCATTTACTTTGTCCGGATCCATATCTGTTTGTCGCCATGACGTACCGTGCACGTGATAGTTTTTTTTACTCAAACCCATGATCTTCCAGATACCCCCCACAGCGTGAGAAAGTCCGCGTTTTCAGGAAACGGCTCTGGGATCGAATGCTCCAGCTCCAGATGCAGATGGTACAGGATGCGCTCGGTGTCGCTGTCGACGGCAACGTGTTCCAGTGATAACGTGCCCTTGAGAGCGATAATTGACCAAGCTTGAGTTCTGGTAGCTGGGGCATGGAGATCGGCCCGGCGGTCCATTGCGACGAAGCTGCGAGTGCTTGACCTACTGAGAGGCTAACAAGTTATGTCTTGCAAAGAGATAGCTGCTGCCATGTAGTTTAGCGTATAGGTGACATCCCTTTAAATGTAGCTCCTCAAAATATCTACGTGAGACAATGTGGGATGGATGTCATTTAAGTGCAAAGTAGCAAATCGACTGCTCGGTTGATGCGATGAAATTCGGGCGACCTCATACCATCGCGTCATCCTCGATAATTCATCCGCACGTTTCAATACAGGACTAAAACACTTGCACCGACCAGATACTTACTTAGTAAGCAGCATTCTGTTTGCCGTAGGTATCAAGATAACAAAAGGTATGTAGCCCAGTCATTATAATGCTCACACAAGAACGAAACATACCATTACTCAGCTGCACTATGTCTCACACCATGCGATGGTACTTGATCTGAGTATTGGTCCTAGCCCGAGGACCAACAGGGCTGTTGGGTGCAGCGACCGAGCGTCTTCGGTCTCGGCCTCCACCACCAGCCAGGAAAGCTTCGTTCGGTTTGGCTGCCTCCAGCGGCTTTTCACTATCCGGACCGGACGAATACAGAAGCGATCCCGACGGATTCAACTTCTCGAAGATCTCCTTAAACGCATCAAACTCTCGTTCCGCCTTGTAGCGACTGGCATTGTGGAATGCCACCCTCGCTTCCACCAGTTCGGTGTGCGGTGTCTCGTCGTCTGGGAGCTGAACGTACAGATAGCCGAACTCACTGCAGCTGATTTTTGGAATCTCCCACTGGTAGAAACCGAAGCGTTCCATGTATTCATGAAGAACAGCTTCACGGTGTTCGGGTGGGATCGAAGAAGAGAGCACGCGGATCGTCTCGTGCACTTTAATCAACGCTCCGGAAGCTCGTCTGCGCATTTTGACAAACACAGCGATGTACAGAAACCACACGACGTTCACAAGCGTGAAAAAGCCACAAGAAATGCCTAGTAAGCTGTTCTCTTGCCAGCTTTCTCGTCTAGGGAAGAGATCCACAAACAGAGGGAACAAAGCGTTCTCGATCGCTACCAAACACGCGATGATGAAGCAGAAAAACACGTACTGATCCAGTGTCGTAAAGTACGAGATCTGCGGCGTTAAGGACGCCACCATGTTCTTGAACGTCACAGCTGTCAGCAACAGGGTCAACACGATCTGAACGCGGTCACCAGTGTCCATAAGCGAACCATCCGAGAGCGGAGCGTACGAGATAAAGCACAAATACGTGATGATACCAGCTGGAATGGCTACATTCGTCATGTAGTAACCTGGTCGTCGTTCCAACATCATCTCGAATCGAATACTCTTCTTGTCACCTTCAGCGTCGATCTCACCGACGAACACCTTATCGTGGTGTACCACATCAAAGACGTTGCCTAACTTGTAGTTGGCGATGGCGAACGTGCCTGCGTCTACCGCTCCCGGTGTGACCCGCAGGGACTTCCTCACCCCCGTCCCCGTAGAGAATGCAAACGTGAGCTTCTGTTGGTCCACAGGGAAACTGCGTAGGGTCATCTCTTCACTAAACGCAGCTACCACTCGACGACTGAATTGCAGGTGACTCAGATACTCCGACGTCGCCGTCACTGGCAGCGCTAGACTAGTTGAGTCTGTGAAGTGAACAGGCCCCGCTGGTGACAGACTGGACGTCATCTCGCGCTCTTCTTGCATCGAGTTGACGTTCGTGAGCTCAAACTGGTTCTCATCGAACTCGAGAATGTCCATGAGCTCACGTAGTACCGAGTCTTCTCGGATTGTGGTGATAGCCGGCATCGTAACCTCCCACGTCACATCAGCAGTAAACGTTTGGCCCACTGTGTCAACTGAAATGATAGAGTTGACTTCGATCTGTACTTCAAGCGGCGAAAAGCCGGCCATTAAGTGAGCTGTCACCGGACCAGGACGGCTACTCCCAGGAGGCACAATATCTCGAAGGAACCAATGCTGCTTGTGTCCCCATTTACCAAGCTGCATCTTCCATGGGAACAGAGTTGGGGGCAGGTCGTCAGCTTCAGCAGAGGCCAACGTGGAGCTTCGAGCCTTTGCTGGATCATTCGAATTCCCCGCAGCTTCGACCTTTTTGGCTAATTCTTCAACCTCCACATGGTTCATCTCGGTCTTACGCCATGACATGCAGTGCACTTTGCGGTTGTTGTCACTAAGGCGAATAATCTTCCAGATGCCACCCACAGGCCACGTCAACGTCATGTACTCGGCATTGGCGAGATATGGTTCAGGGAGAGGGTGTTCCAGCTCGAGGTGAAGGTGATACTGGACGCGGTCGGTGTTGATATCGATGGCGACGTGCTCGAGTGTGAGCTTGTCGTTGAGTACGACACTGGACCACGTCTGCGCTTCCTCGATGGTAGCAGTGGTGGAGGATTGTAGACTTGTGTTGCTCTTCATCTTGAGGACGTGCGCAACCGACACTGAGGTTTTTATAGCGTACAGACAGCAGATTTAGGAGTGCCGTAAGTCAGTTGACAGCCACGCACTGCATCTGATCGCTGGGTACTGGATCCATTCCTCGTGACTAAGCTCGCGGCTGACTGATGATTACCATGTATGGCTGACATCCCTCCAGGTTGCTCATTTTCCCAATCAGCAAGTTAAGTAAAGGGGACGGGTGACATTGTTTACCTACGATTAATCGGGAAAGGTTTGTGCAAATCTACGGGGCACGAGTGACCATCAACTCCGCCGGAGTCCCGGACAGCAGCGAAGCCCAGCTACTATCATCTTTGCATTACTGTAGGATAAGACCCACTGCCACTGGGTCACACATGTACAGTACCAGTTGTCTCGAAACATCATTTCACACTTGATGAAAAAAACATGATACCAAAAGCAGTCCAGTCATAGCTTTTCAACAACCGGTAGTAGTAGAAGATGTCGTATACCTCCTCTTCCTTCAAGGGTCGGGTAGTCCGCGGCTGTTCAGGGAGTACGGTCTTGTTCAGTGGCTGTAGGAACGGTAGATAGGAACACTAGAGAGTTAAAAATAAAAGTTTGTTGATTGGCTTGGCTTCCTCTTGAGTAGAAGGAGGGAAATATAAGACTGAGAGCTAACCGGAAGAGAGGCCTAACACCTTCTCGACCTTACATACACTACACTACCTACTAAAAAAAGGAAGGATTCACTTCGTTTGTTGTCGGCCTTCGTGGGACAACGGAGAGCTTCTAAGAAGAGGCTTGATGTCGCGAGGTGCTTTTGGTCCCACGACGCCAAGACTCCGGCGTTCTAGGGCCCCCTTATAGAACCACCCTAACGGGCTCGGTCAGGGGCACGTGCGTGGTTGAGTTCAACGGGAACCACCCTGACGGGACGGCGGGGCGAGGAGTGATTCCAGGGTCTCGAGTCATCCCGACGGGAGGCAGAGCTCCTGGAATGACCCCTCCGTTCCCGGGTACGGGACATCCTCCCCGACTTGTCGTTCGTCGTCCTCGGCGAACGGATCCTCTGCGTACATCTCTCACGTTAGTCCTATAGACTCCGTCGTTAGCAACTTCTTCAGACAGGGGAGGTTGGAACGCTTCGGGGTAGTCCTCGGAGCGGTCCTCAACGTAGTCAGGGTCGACGGCTTGAGAGTCATATAGCACCTCGACATCGTCGTCGACCCGCAGACGTTCGATGTTCCGGGCCTCAGCCATACTACGTTGAGAAGCGTTGTGGCGGGTACTCGTCAATGCTAGCTCGACCAGCACCTTAGGGGAGACAGTTCGGAGGGGGATTCCCTCGTCGTATTGACGACAACCGTGAGATACCACACCGGTGACCACCACGACAAGAGTGTCGGCGAGACTCCAGCCGGTTCACTCGAGGCAGTAGTTGGTAGCTAGTAGGAGCAATAGTACAATCCCCACACCCACAGGTCCCAGGAGTACGAACTCCACTAGATCAAAGGCGTTGACCGGGATGTACAGCAGTAGAGACAGGCATAGTAGTACTAGCCAGCAGGTGGCTTCTCCCACCGCGTACAGGCGCATCCAGGTGGCCTTGAGAGCGTCCCAGAAAGCGTACCAATAGCGTATGCTCGAGTCTCTTGTACGGAGGAGGACTTCTGGGATGTAGTCGGAGAATGTCACCTTGCTGGCGATCCACCAACTGCGCAACATCCGTCCGTAACGACCATACTTATCTTCTCCTTTGAGTAGAACAATAGGAGGCACAGCAAATAGCGCACTCCACACTCCATACGCGTAGGTAGCACCCCGAAGTTGACGAAGTTCGTTTGCTTGAAGTACGTCTCGGTATAGTGACGCACAGTCGCTCCAAATATCGCAGTTCAACTTGACCACACGCCACACTTGGACCAAGAACTCCCTGGTAACGTTACGTAGAGGAGTCGTTAGGACCCAGACCGTTACAGCCCCTACGTACACGGGCCACAGCTCTCAGCGGGCGTACTCGTAGAAAACACTAGCATGAGGCTCCATTTAGACGAGAGTACACTCGGCAAATAAGAAACTGAGTACACCCCGGGCGACCCTTCTCGACGTCATTCGACCTCCATCCGTCTTAGCCGCCACCCATCTGTCAAGTCCAGTAGCTGGGAAAGGAGAACTCCGATTCCTCGTCCTTTTCGGGAGCCTCTCTTGCACCCATTATACAGTTATCACAGGAACCTCGAGAGAGACAGGGCCGGAGGTCCAGGCACCGACGGGCAGTTTTACTGCTCATTTGGCAATTTTGCCCCGACTTCCGACACACCCTCGGCGCCCTCTCTTCTCACCACCCCAGTATGGGCACCTCGCGCGGAACGGCCACGCACCGCCTCAAGGCCGTCTGGAACGTGGAGTCTTCGGACTCCGACGGCTCCTCTTCAGATGACACTCTAGCCGACGAGCGCTTCTGGATCCTCATGCGAGACGTCCTGGCTGCAAATGCTAGCTCCATCGGCCTCGAGCTTCTGGATGACATAGCCGCCGCGATCTTGGACGACACGGGGAAGGCTCCGGACGCTCTGACGGGGCCGGTAGTTATCATGCCCAATCCGCCTCGGCAACCGACTCGCGGGAAGCCGCCTCGGCACCCACGCTTCACGCAAGATGGTCGATTTCCGCTCAAGAGCGTCAGTACTGGCTCGACTAAGAAGAAGACGATCACGGAGAGTCCTCGTTCCGGCAAGAAGCGTCCGAGTCACCCGTGGTCTTCGTTCGCGTTACCATTCAAGCTGTCGGACACGACTCCTTCTCCCATGGTCGATGATCTGAAACGGGTTTATTACGAGGCGGCCGAGCTAGTTCAGGAACCGTACCAGCTGGCGTATCCGTGGCCGGGCTCGCACTTGTGGTACAACCCGCAAGAGTACCCGCATGTGCACGCTTCTCACTGGCGCTTCTGGAATGAGAACCGTTCCAAGTTCTGGGAAGGCAGACGAACGTCCCGTTGAGGACCTCCAACGCGCAGACTCAGCGGTGCAAGGCTAAGATGGCGGCAGTAGTCGCACGCGTCTGGTTCCTGAGCATTTGTATCGAGACCTGGGGCTACTCCGGCTTCCTTCGTCTATTTGAGAGCTGCGCGCACCGTCGTCGCCTTATGTGGATGGGAGGACAGCCTGGTCGGAACGCCCCAGACGCCAAGACCTACAATGGCCCAGTCATCGACAACCTGTCTAAGCTTTACTCGCGTGACTCGGGAGCGTACTCGCGAAAAGTGAAGAACGCTCTCAAACCGTTCCGGATCGACGAGGGAGGTTTCACGACCATCCCGGAGTTGTTGGAGCATACCGGAGCCCTGGACCCTAATAGCTCTAAGCCCGACAGTCAGCTCACGGACCGGGCGTTGGCCCTCGTTCTGCTGGACATAAAGTCGAAGGAGGATCACGAACCTCATTGGGTAGGGGACCGTTCGAAGGGGGTCTGATATGCGCTAAGTCACTGCTCGCGTCTTCAGAAGATGACGGCCAAGCTTTCGCGCAAACGGGAGAAAGGGGCTCTTCGAACACCCAAGGTAACCCCCTTAGACGCGTCTGAAGCTGACTCGGCGGGATACGCAGCGTATGAGCGTACGGACGGTACTTACACGGCGATTTGGGAGGAAGCGAGTGAGGAAGAGTCGGCTTACGAGGAGGACGAAGCCGAGAGCGACTCTGAAGAACTCCGTCCCGTCAAGAGGACGCTGCGCCTTTCTTCTAGTTCCGACGAGAGTTCGGAGGACGACGAGCTTCCCCACAAGCGTCTACAGCTCTCTCACAAGTCTCTGAGGGCGAAGGAGCGCGCGAAGCGTTCCCGTTCCCCGTCTCGCAGCTCTACCTCCCTGAAGAAGCCTCGATTAAGTTCGTCGCGCAAGCGGTCCCCTTCATCTTCACGCGCTAAAGGCAAACTCAAAGCGCGCGCTGCTTCGCAAGAACGTTCGGTTTCTCCCTTACGGTCACGATCGAAGTCCCCAGTGCGCAAGAAGTCCCGTCGATCACGTTCGGAGGAGCGTCCTGCGTCTCGGTCGAAGTCTCCAACGAAGTCCTCAGCCACCAAGGCGAGTAGGGAGTCCCGGCGGGACAAAGAAAGATCACCTTCGCACGCGAAGGGGAGTAAAGTCACTTCCGACAAACCAACCGACGGCAAAACGCCGACTCCTCCGTCAGCTCCAGCGTCGCGGGACGGCACGCGTAAGCGGTCGCGTTCAGTGTCTTCCTTGAAGAAGGCAGTGCCTCCTAAGGGACGCTCGGCCTCGCGGTCCCCGTCAGCATCTCGGAAGTCGAGCTCGTCGGGTGAACACTCTGCTCCCAATTCGCCGGCTAAAAGGTCCGCCAAAACAGCCTAACGAGAGGCCGTCGAGAAGTTAGTGATTCGTACAATTCCAGAACCGTTCCTCACTGGATGAGAGTAAGAGTACTGGCATCGTCTTCCTTTTTAAGTTTCTTTTTGTTTTTCACCATGATTCGTTCCCACTTGTTGTTTTCGTTCTTCCTCTTTAGATCGCGGTAAAATTGTTTTTCTTTTTGGTATGTAGGAGATCAGCCACTTGTGAAGTAGAATCCAAAAATATGCAAAGTCGTAAGAAGTGTTCTTCAGATCACTTCCGCGGGAGGCGGGGTCGTAAGCTTACTCTGGCTCATTGGATCGACCCGTCACGATTCCCTCTCCCTAGAAGAGTAGCTCTTCTTCGTCAACGGCGGCGTTAGCATCTTCCAACCGCGCGCTGCGACGTAGTTCTGGTAGATCTCCCTCCCGACGACGGGTTTCTTCGAACGCCTTGATGAGAGCAGCGTAGGTGGGCAATAGTGTGTTTCGTGGTCTCCAAAGGGTCTCATAGGTAGCCAACAACACCAGGAACTGCTCTTCACGGTTCTTTTTGCGTCGGGCGATTATGTCGATCACAGAGCAAGGAACTCCGGTCAGGGCCGTCTCTTCCCCTCCAATCAGGAGTCTCTCTACGAAGCTAGTGGAGGGGAGGTCCTCTTCCG